TTCTCTTAGATCATAGGAGTAACTGCTGTCATCTAATTCTAGTGTTTTTGCTGCTACACAGATAGATTTTTAGACCTAGCCCTTACTCAGAAGCCATCCAGGTAGCCAGACCCTGAATGCGTATGGGGTAGGAGCAGGATTATTGTAATATGAAGAATCTGATTTCAGAACTAAACTAAATTACGGTTTCTGATTTTATATTGAGTCATTCCTGGTGAAATAAAGGCAAAATTCTTCTCCAGATACAAGCATCCCAGTGTCTCGGTGCAGAGAATGTAGAAGGTTGCCTCTTAGGAAGAGCTGCTTAGAAATGGAAGAGCGTATAATGATACATTCCTACACCTTTCCTAGCAGAGCATCTGACAGCAAGATCTTGACTTAAGGCTGATGAGAAACCAAGGAGTAGCTTAGCAGGGTGTATTTAGAACTGTGCTAGTGTACTTTGCTGAATCCAGCTTCTTTACATGTTAATAAAATAAGAAATTCTTAACTTAATGTTCATCTTCAGAGCTTGTGTTGGGTATTTATCAGCTATCCCTACGTAAGTTGACTGAACTTGCTCTTCATTATAACTATGCTGAGTTCTTTAGTGGCAAGTTTAACAAAAACAGTCCTTAAATAAAATACCGGTTGCAGTGTTTTCCTAGGAAGTTCAGCACTTTTCATTAGTGTTGAAGCTATAACATTGCATCTCTGTGCTTCTTTTGTTGTGCCTTTGCTGCCTTTTAAACTTTCTGACTCTGTTAAACTGAATCTATGAGAAACAAATGGTTTGATTCAATATGTGGGATAGTTTCAAAAGGATAAGCCAGAGGCTCATTCTTCGTAATGATCCATATTAATTGCAAGGTTACAGTGCCAGATTTTGGGACACTTAAAAAGTGCTGAGAGTTTAATATGTATTCAATAGGATCCTGTCTCCCTTCCTCGTAAGGATAGGGAAGGGGGAAAAGCAGTGAGATTTCCCATAATTCAGGCAACTGGTAAGCATTTTTATGTACTTGCTGAGGAAGGACTCAGTTATGGAAAAACCGCTCACCTAAGGAGGGAGTTACAGGAAGGGAACAGAAGAGAGAGACTCTTTAGGTCTAAATATGTTGTGACTATGCATCAAGAGAAGATACAGGTATGGTCAATATACAGTGAATATCTCACTTCTCTTTAGCGCATGTTAAGTACTTTCTCTTCTTATACTTTGGTAGTATTGTCTATACTACAGGTGCAGTTCATGGCACTAAGAAGCAGAAAAAATAGTAAAAAAAAAATCCCAACCTGAGTGTGGTTAGGACATCTATGTACTAGGTTTTTTCTCCTCCTCTGAGTCCCGTTGAGTTTTCATCTATGTTATTATTATCAGGTCTATGCATAATAAAGATATAAAGAACTGAAAAAAAAAACCCAAACCCAGAGTTAACATCCATTAACATCCAATTATGGATTTTAGATTTCCTTGGTTTGATCTTTAGGTGTCAAAACTATGATGGTAATGTGACATGTGACTGCAATAACAGCTCTGTAATTTGTGATGCTGTCAGATAAAACTGATGTTTTTCATTCACAGGATCCCTGTGGACAATCCAAATGCTAAAATAAGATCTGTAGAAAGAGGCAATAATTTTATTAGACCACCTGATGCAAGCGGAGAAAACAGACGAGCCCATGGACAATTCCTTCATTACATCATTGCATCTAAGATTAGGGGTTTTTTTCCAGTGAAGTAGCATTGAGTATAGCAGTCATTTAGTCACATAGACTTAATGTTATGTATGTCATGCAATGAACTGAAAAGGAATTTTCTTCATTAGTATCTTTATGAGGCTTTGCAAGACACATGTTAAATATACAAATGATACGAAACCTGCAATGAATCCCCGGAATTCACTGGTCTGACCTTTAAACTTCTAGCAGTACCATCTTATTACACATCTTTCATGAAGGCATATTTGTCTGTGGACCATTGCAATGTGACATACATTCAGAGGGATAACCAGTGATATCCTAAGTTTTTTCCATGCTTCTGTTGTTAAGGGCAGAACGTAGCATTGTGTGGTCTTCTCCTTGAGAAGGATGACGGAAATTCATAGACCTGTTGTCCTAGTTCCAGCAGGGTAGGGTTAATTTTTCCAGGCAAGGCTCTGGCGAGGACACAGGTATTCCATCCCATGTGAGCCATGGCCAGTCCATAGCCAGGAGCTGGCCAGGGGAGGGGGCTAGGGCATTCTGGCTCTGGTTGGTGAGTGGTGGCCTCTTAATCATGTTTGTACATTCCTCTGTCAGTGTTATTTTTGTTGTTTTCTTGTTACCTTTGCTGTTCTGTTAAACTACCTTTGTCCCAACCCATGAGTTTTGCCTTTTTCTTCCAATTCTTCCCCCACAACTGTGCAGGAGGTGAGAGAGCAGAGTGTGGGTCTTGTTGCCATCTGAGGCTAAACCACGACACCTGCCAGTTACAGATCTTAAGGAGCGTGACCTTTTTCTTAAATGATTTGGACAGCTTATCATCCTTTGCCATCTCCTTAGAAAATGTGTCTGCAGCCCTCCCGAAGTCTTAAACCGTGCTGTTTTGCTTCCTTCGGCAGCTGGAGGTGCAGTAAGGGCCCTTCTGTAGTAATGCACACTCAGAAATCATTCCTCTGCTGAGATAGTTACTGTTCCTCAGAGCTACCGTTTGGTGCCTAAGGCTTTACTGTCTTACCTTCCAAATACCCTCATCCGATACTACTGTACAGGGAAAGATCCTCATACTATAAGAAATAATTCTACTTCCATAGGGTCTGGCAATCTAATGTGCATTTTTCATCATTTCCCACAATTCTCTGACTTCCAGTTAATTTTGTTTTGGACTGGATAATTTAATACGAAATTAGCAAGGGGAACAGTCTACTGCTGTGGCCCTTCTAAAGCCTATTTTCCCGGAATCAGGAATAAAGTCAGATTTAGCCTGGCTCTTCCAGGAGATGTAGTTAACTGGATGACTTCTGGAGGGAAGTGGCTTCTGGGGGCAGGTGTCTTCTGTATGAAATGAAATTTTGACTATACTAAAGAATAGAGTTAAGTGAATGAGGGTGGGATAATCTGGTAGTGTTTCATCGACTTTGGTTACTGACATCCTTAACTATCTACAGCAGTTGAGCATTTCTTTCAGTTGTGTTAGCCTGCCCATATTGACCACTTATGTACATTTCTCCAGATGGTAATTATGTCCTTTTATACATTATTTTTTCTGAAGCCGCTCTTGGTAGTATCCTTTTTTGGCATCCCAGATTGGTTTTGTATTAATTGAACTATCTTTGAAATGGTGAAGATCTGCTCTATCTCTGATGTGTCTGTTGAGTGGAATCCTTAGGAGCATCTCATCAAGGAGAGGTTTAAGCCTCAAATCAAGTCTGAAAGGACTTGAGAGGCATTTATAAATTTATAATAGGAAAAACATGGCTCTGTGGAATGCAATTCATATTATACAGAATTCATACAATACAAAACATACTCTTCTTACACTGAAGACGTAATATCTTGTTCTTTATTGCGTTTGTCTCCTGGTATTTTTATGTTACACAGCACTTAGAGAGTTAATGTTGTAGCTGATTGGATGCCAGAAATTGTTTCAGACATGATATCAATGTAGCTTTAGTCTGCATGCCTTTTTTGCTTCATCTTGTTTGGCATCCCTTTCAAACAGAAGATGAAAATATGCTCTGGGACTAATAACAATGTTTGCAAAACACAGTTTTACTGAGCTTTCCTGGAGGAAGAATCATTAATTTATCCAAACTGATTTGTTTATTTTGTCTTTGCAATTCTGTGTTATGTATATGGAAAAAAATCAGCATCATAGATGAAAAAACTGCAGTCCTCTTAAAGGCTTTTTGTGAAAAGCAGAAACACTTTAGATAAGTAATTTCTTTGTGTTTTCTCTGCACTTTTCTTACTGGGAAGTTTTCAATAGCTTGTACATTTACTGTGAAAGAATACTTAATTGAGTCGTGATGCTGTTTCACCTTCTGACAGTCACATTATAAGATGCCAAGTGTTAATGAGTTTAGGTAAATATTTATAATTAAAACAGTAGTTTGTAAGTTTACATTGCCTTCTCCTTTTCATCAAGCAGTAAAAGTGAAAGCTATTCTGTGTAGTTCCCATTGCCTTTCTGTAAGGCCTCATTTAGAGAATTCTGTATAGAATGTTGAGAAGAAAACACAGTCTGATTAACTGTTAGTCTAAGGACTTAAGTTTTATGCTCAGCTGTGTTGACATTTCAGTTTTACTCCTTTCTGAATGAAATCCTGGCACCATTGAAATCGGTGTGAGTCATAAGAGCTGACTGCAAGAAAGCAAAGGCTTTAGTCCTCTGCATTAGTTTCTCAGTCTGAACATTGGGCATTTATTTTAACCCACCACTCCAGCATGTGGTAAAGTTTTATAAATTGAAGATTCTGTGATGACATAAGAGACCATCCCCTCCGACAAAATCAAACTTTTTAGGGTTTGTTTTGGGAAAGAAAATCTGAACTTACTTGCAGCTATTTTAAAGCTGATTGATCCCGTTCTAAGAATTATCTAATTCTCCATTTAAAGTTTGGGAAAAGCCTATAAAATAACATTCTTAAACCTTGTATTAGTTCTTATGTCTTCTTGTATATTTGTCCCTACCACGAATCACATTCATTTCAATACCCAGCTGTTTGTTGGCTAGTCACAACTGACGTTTTCAGGCTTTCCTAATGTACCTGCCACAGCATTCATGTTCTTGTTCTGTGTTTTAAGGAATACTTACACTTGAGGAGTTGAATGTGCAAAAGGAAAATGCCTGCATATTTAATTGACTGCTTACTTATTACTGTTTGTAGTTTAATTACTTGAACCTTACATATTGGTAGGAAGGTACAAAACATGAAATGGATCCATTTAGAAAATAAAGTGAAATTGCATTAATTTATTTTTTAAAAAATTCTAAAATTATTTTCATGACCACTAAAATTCTACTCTCTTTTTTATTCCAGAATCGAATGGAAGAAAGCAAAGCACTCTTTAGGACAATTATCACATATCCATGGTTCCAGAACTCTTCAGTCATTCTGTTCTTAAATAAAAAAGATCTCTTAGAGGAGAAAATTATGTACTCCCATCTAGTTGATTATTTTCCAGAGTATGATGGTAAGTATAATGACATCAGAGCTCATGCTCTATTTGCACTGCAGTAATGACAAATTGTAATAGCCTTGTCCATATGCTAGACAGATAGATCCTTTGATATATTTTCTCTTTAAAAAAAAAAAGGTTCTTTGCAATTTTTAATCATCTAAATATTTAAAATATGATTGAACTCTTGTGGGATTTTTTTTAGATTGCTAAGATTGTATTTTATATTGTAATCAATAGAGGGTAGGATGGCAGAACCTTTCATGGGAAATTGTTGAGTTTTAGATAAGTATGATCATATTAGCAGTGAACTGCATTCTGTCCTTTTTCATAAGTCAGCATGAGAGTTTAAACTGAAGTATAAAAGCTAAACGGAAATAAAAATGCATTCCTCATTTTTGCACATTGTCTCCCATACTCGTTATTATTATTATTATTATTATTATTAATAATAATAATAATAATAATATTATTATTTGAGATCTGGTTTTGTGTAAGGCTGAGTATCTGAGGGGAAGTGTTATAAGCTCTCTGTGGCACTCATAAACCAGTACCACTCCTTCCACCCTGTTGTTACACCTTTTTTTTTCTTTATTTTAATTTTACATTATTTATATGAAGCTTAATGTGCTTGTCTATTAAAAAAAAAGGGGGATTGTACAGCTGTTTCTACTAAAACTGTACTTTCAAAAAGTTCCCTGAGGTAAAAATCTTAAGTATTTTGAGGTAACTGAGTAGAGGCCTTGGTAACAGAGAAAAATCAAACTCGTATAATGGGAAATCTAAAGAACTAAATGTTCCTGTTTCCAAATAAAGAAAATCTGTTTTGTCCCACCAGGGATTGAATGCAGATTTGAAAGCTGAATAAAAGATTAAATCTCTCATGTTCAAATATGGAGTAATAATAGGAAAAATGTACATTTTGTTTCCTGTTTAAGGGGAAGGAAACAGTGAACAGCCTGCAGGATTACACAGTATTATTTATGAGTCAGTGTAAGTTTAGTTCCATAGTGCTATGCAGAAGAGAACTCATCCTTTTGAGTTTACTTCATATGACAAGTTTCCTAGATGATATCCTGAAGGTGAGAAGACTCTAGTCTGCTCTGTTACCACCACTCAAATGGCAGTAAAGCCTCTGTTACATGCTTTTCCAGAAAAAAATAGACAAGACTCAACCTCTCAGCTTGGAGAAACCCTGTTTCTCCTGCCCTTTGGCATTAGTGAGGGAAAAAAAAAGATTATGGACTTGTAGGGCTGTCGGAGTCAAGACGTGGAAGTCTTCAAGAGTCTTTGTCTCTTAATTCTGCAGATCTTGCTGGACTTTACTCCGTAGACAAGGTTATGCTTTGATTTGATGTATTCTGGTGGCAGGGTGGGGTCTATAGCTTGCAGAGGTCTCCGTGTGGTCCCCTCTTCTGTCCTAGCACACTGGGGATGTGGGAGGTTGGAAAGATCTGAAGAAGGGATCAGAATTAGGTATTTTTCAGCTGGATCACTTCTCCCATCCATTTTCCTGCACAAGGGAGAATGTAGCACAGGGATGAGAGCTGCTAGCCAGCATGGTAAATTGAACCAACTAAATTAAGCTAAGGAGTTCAGCTGCATGCATATATTCTAACAGCATTGGACAGGGGACTGAGGTACGCTCGGAAGGGTTGTCAGACATTGGAACAGGCGGCCCAGAGAAGTGGTAGAATCGCCATCCCTGGAGGTATTTAAAAGATGGGTGGATGTGGTGTTTAGTGACATGGTTTAGTGATCGTTTTGTCAGCGTTAGGTTGATGGTTGGACTAGAGGATCTGAAATGTCCCTTCCAAGCTAGGCAATTTGGTGATTTATTTATGGTTTATCTTTGCATGCCTGGTACTAGAAGACTGAGTTATAGACTGGAATGAAGAGCTGGGAGAGGGCGAGAGGACAAAGACCAAAGGGAGTCACAGTTAGGAGGAAGAGAAAAATACCGATGTAGTTCTTTTATAGATCTTGAATATGTCATGTAGAGACACTCTTCAAAAGGTGCTGATTAGGGAGCGGTGGAAATCTGCTGATTTATATGGTGGGTTTTTTCCAAGTCTCCATGTTAGTTAGATTGCAAGCACTTTGCAGTCTAAATTTAAAATTGATTCATTCATTTTTTTTTCTAAATTTATGAGGTTCTTTCTAACCTCAGTATAAATGTTCTTTCTAACCTCAGTTTTCCATACTTGAACTTCAGTCAAATGAAAATTTAAATTACATGATAGTCAGTAAAGGTAAAAAAATTTGGATACAGGCTCTGAATAGTGCAGCAGATTTTGAGAGACCGCTGTGTCTAGCTAGTATGCAACTGTTTAAAAAAAATTCTAGGAACAGTTAAAAACAGTAAGTTTTGAGGAAATAATTGAGGAATCAACAGTAAGTCGTTTTGAGGAAATTATTGTCTTTGAAAGTCTAAGAGTTCTTCACAGATGCTGCAAATTTATTCATGGTAGTGTGAGACATATTATTGCTGCTGTTTCTATAGGGTCTGGGTGACCAAGCCAAAGGCTAGAGCCTGTTGTGTTTTAGGAGCCGTAGAAGTGTTGAACAGTCCTCTGTCCCACTTCAGAGAGCTTATGGTCTGTTTACATCCCTAAGTCTCAGGAAATCTGTCATCTGTGTATGTGTTATGTATGTACGTGTATATTCCTGTGTGGCCTTCAGACACAGCACTGGAATGATGGAACAGAATTCAACATCTTGTAGCTAACGTTCTTGCTTCTGCAGTGCTCTTTTGGCTGTGAATGTGAATGAATCCTCGCTGTGCAGGCTGGAAGTCATTACCTTCAGTCTTCTGTAAAGCTGGACATGTGGTTTGGTTACATAGGCTCTCTTATCTGTCCTTCTGAGAACTACAGCCTGAATTTAGATCTGATAGGACGATTATCATACGTCATTTAGATAATAATTGATCTGTTAGAGCATGAGCCTTTTGCAATCAAACTGCTTCAGCTGGAGAGCATGTGTATTTCACTATCACTAAAGCAAATAAAGCTCTATTGGTGACAGTGTCAGACGAGTTCAGAATATAATTTCATTATGTTACCTATTAAAATCCTCATAAAACAAGTAAATGTTGCAGTGCTAAAAGGACTTAAGTATAATTTAAATACATAGTAGGTGTAGATGGAATATTCATAAATTCTATCAACATTTTAAAATATTTATTAATATAGGTAGTTTTTCAGTTTTCATTCTGTAAGTTATAAATCACCTGTTTATAAATCACCTGTTTGAAGTGTTATCTTACTGGAGAAAGAGGAGGATAGTCAGCAGGAAAAGAGCAGCTTTGACATGATAGCTCTGACTTGAGGAACTTCTGAAATTTCCTTCCATCTTTATTTTTCATAGCTCCTACCAGGAAGAAAGTAGCCAGTAGATGAGCCCATTGATTAAAGTAAAAAGTTCCCCATCTTCTCTTATGTGAGGATCACAGAGTGAACCTTTTTTGTTTACCGCTAAAGAATCTCAAATATTGAATCGACTTTAAGAAAACTGACTTTCTTTTTCTTAATTATCAGGACCACAGCGAGATGCACAAGCGGCACGAGAGTTCATCCTGAAGATGTTCGTAGATCTGAATCCAGACAGTGACAAAATTATCTACTCCCACTTCACGTGCGCTACAGACACAGAGAACATCCGCTTCGTCTTTGCTGCTGTCAAGGACACGATCCTACAGTTAAACCTGAAGGAGTACAACCTGGTCTAACTGTGCCTAGGAGGCCCTCCAAAACCAACTTTGCGTGATTGAAGATATACAAGAGGGACTGTATTATCTGTGAAAACAATTTGCATAATACTAATTTATTGCCGGCCTGGACTCTGTGAATGTCCACAGAGTTTGTAGTTAATATTATGATTTTATTTAAACTATGTGGAGGAAAACCAAAAGATGCTGAAGTACATTCACAGCACATTTCCTCATTTTTTAGGCAAAACCTTGTGACTCAGTGTGTTTTAAATTCTCGGTCGTACATTTACAAAGGATAGCAGTTTTTTTGCTATTGAAGCAAAATCAAGCTGGTTTCCTCTTTCCCTGACCCTTTCTATCTCCCTCCTTCCCCTCCCCGCCTTATCTTTTTCAAGGTACAATGGCCTTTTTTCCCAGTTGCATTCCTGGGTGAAATCTTTTCTGTTGAGTGATTTGGTCAGGAAAATACTATCATCAGAATTTAAGTCATCAGTCATTTTAATTTTACAATATGTACTATCTCTGAAGGATCAAAAGTATTGATACTGTGATGTTTAAGTTCTTGACATGAGTGTCTTCATTCTGTCTTCACTTTTGGGACTAGAATATTGGGATTGCGAACTAGAATTACAGTTGTCTAAGGATAATAAATTTAACCATATTTTCATAGGTTAGAAAGGTGCACAGAAGACAGTAATGAAATAATTAAGACACAACCTGGGTTGTATGTGGAATATGTTAGAATCTCTTTTTAATTGCCATGTGCCATTTTTTTCTCTCTTCTTTTATTCACAAATGCCAAATAGAAATGTCATAGACACTACATTTCCCCCAGTGGCTACAGCCTGAAACAGTGGGGTTTTTTTCAGTTGTGTGGGGTTTTTTTCTTAAGTTAGAGCTTTTTTAAGTGTTCTTTTTTCCACAGTAGAAGAATTATTTTTATTGTATAAAATTAACATTGCCAAATCTGGCTTTTTATAAAACCAATACTCTTGAAACATAAGATACTGATTGAAATGCCAAACTGATGGGTTGGGAACTGACCTGATTGAGTCAACTGCCAAATGACAAACACAGTTTCAGCTCATATGTTCCCTTTTTTAGAAAGTGTTCCATTTTCTAATGCCAAAACCAACAGTGTGAGTGAACAAGGTGCACCGTGCATGTGGTCTACCGATTTAAAGACAGTTTAAATCTCTCCTTATGTCAGATATGGCATGGGATTGTTTTCTGTAATAATACCAAGGCACCTTTAGTTGTATAACAAGAAACAAGATGAGAGATCGTGTTCAGGAACCTTTCTTGATAAGGTTGCTTGTTAACTAACTGATTCACAGACATTTGATAGGCTTTCATGCAAAATAGCCTCTCTCAATGTTCTTTAGAAAAGATTTATTAATGTAAATGAATCAGAAAATCATTCTTGAAATTTAAATGTGCAATTTTTTAACAACAAAAATGCAGCACACATTGATGAGCCTTTATTCTGCAGCTTAGGTTGAAAGGTGTTTTTTGACTAGGTGCATGATTGCTAGCAAGCTATAGGAAACTCAGAGTTCTGACATGTAATTGGATTGATTATCTGCAATGCCAAGTAGCACTAGAGTGCACTTAACACAGAAATTGCTGCCTCATAGCAGCGGATGGGAGGTGGAAAAAAGAATGGCTTATTAGTTGATTACCAAAGTTAACAATAAATACTAATGAGACGTTTTTCATCCTTAACCCTCCCAAATCCAAAACAACAATTGTAAGAACAGTTGCTATTTTTTGCTCCCTCTTAAAACACCTTGTAATTTAAAACTGGTTGTAGGTATAGTGCAATTATGAATGCTATAATCATTGTACATACATCTATATATATATATGGCAGCATCCATATTGGCTTTGTAATCATTAATTTTTGGCAAATTGAATGTGCTGTATTGATATGTATCTATGTAATTGTATTGTATGTCTTATAGCTAATTCACATTTTAAATAATGTTATTTTATTTACTTTTTTAAGAGAGAAGAATGTAAATTTTGTCAGTTTATTTCTGACTAGGGATTTGTTGTTGTTTTTTATTTACAAAACAAAAAAATATTACTATAGTACAGAGCGGTACTAGCATCGTGCTGTATAAAATCATTTGCACATTCCTGAGTAGAAGTAAATTGGAGACACCCAGACAGAGGCCATTCACATTCAAAATAACACCTAAATCTTGTCAGGTCTTTATACAGGTGTAGAAACCTGTCTTAGATGAACTTAAGCCATTATATCTAGGATTGGAACCTAAGCTTTTAAGTATAAATTTAATTTATATTTGGCAGATTCATGTTAGGTTACTTTTACTTTTCTAAGAGGCCTTATTAGAAAAGTAAATTTAGAGGTATTTCAAAACATTGTACATACGTACTAATTAGCATATGCTATGGCCCTAAAAATACTGTGAGAAAATACAGAACATCAGATCAATCAAACAGTCTTTCAGAAACTGCAGAAATCTTAGATATAACAACAACAACCAAAAAGTCACTATTGTTAATGATTTTAAGAAGTTAAAGCATTTTATTTAATAAAGCTAAAGCAGGTAGATTTAGGTTATAAAAAGTGACACTGACATTCTGAATAGGGGATAAGAGCAGTGACTCTGCATACAGCATAGCAAAATTGGTCCTGGTCTTGCTATACATGCAACAGAGCTTCTGTTTTCACAGTTCCACTGTTAATAATATCCCGTCTTTTAACGTGGGAATACATTGCCAACGCTGGATTCGTGCTATAAATGGAACTGTAGCAAAAAAGAAAAAAAAAAGAGAAAAAAAAAAAAAAAAAAGAGTAGGGGTGTGCGTGTATTCCCTGTGCTGTGTTTTGGAACAAACAGCTCCTGTGATATCTTCTTGCGTAATGTCTTCTCCTTACTGGTAATTTCCAAATCCAGATGGGATGTTTGCTTAAAGCACAGACCTAGCAAAAAAGAAAAAAAAAAAAGAAAAAAAAAAAAAAAAGAGAAAAAACCAAACGACATACAGTGGTGTCTAACAAAGGTTCGGGTTGGTTTAGTTGGGTTTTTTTTTAAATTTGTTTTGTTTTCTTACGGGATATTGGGTGGGGGAGAAGGAGATGTGGTTCTGAGTTTTGTATAAAAACAAAACAAAAGTTTACTCATGCTTTATAGTTATATTGTGATTGCAAAAGTTTTCAAGAGTGTGTGCCACTAGGCTACTTCTGGTATATTTTAGGTAAGTTGAACCTGTGGCAACGTCTAGATCATTTGAGCATGTTCTGAAAAAGAAAAAATAATAATATTCGGCATGCCAAGGCAAGCTTTACATGAATCACCTAACACAGCATTGCAGTGTGACAGTTTACAGAAACATTTCCTTTTTAAATGACACAGCTGTTCCCACTTTCAGTATATTCCATTGTGGTGGTGGTGGTGGTGTTGCTGTTGTTTTAATTGGTGGTTTCTTCTATGCCTTATAGTGCTTGAGTCCAGAAGTTTGTGCCTCTAACATGAAGCTGAAGGCAAAAACATCAAGACAGAAACCCTTTTAACTTTGCCAAAATTATGTGATTTCTTTGAATGTCATAAACGGGGGAGGAGGGAAGGAAAACGTCTTGGGAACCTGTGTATTCTAGATGTTCACTAGCACAAGAAAGCTGTAATATGTGTTTTACAGAAACCTTAAACTTGCCTTTTTCACAAATTAACTGGCGCTGTCCTTACATACATAGGATGATGCAGCTACAAGGGCAGTTTACTTTTTATAATTCAAACTCTTTTGATTGTCAAGGTGTATGGACTGTAATTTTTAATCATACTGCCACATGATTGTGAATCACTTTTGTAAGCTTGAAAGTGGAAAAGAAACTTTTTATGCTGGATATTGGTCAGAATTGACTGCATGATTTGCAAAAACTCTAAATGGGGGAAAAGGGCTGCATATAAAGATACTGCTAGACTCCCAGCATTTGGTTGTAAGGTGCAGAAGACTTTCAGATTACTCAACCTCATGACCCTTTCCTTGTTACACATTCTTCACGAAAGAGTGAAAATGAAATATTAGGGGAAAACAAAGACATGTTAACCCACATGAAAAAATAAAATTTAGCCAATTTACTATATGTGCTGCTGTTCTTGGAGCTGTGTGCATGGTTATCTGCAGACTGTTACAGTAGTGAACGAATGAAGTGTGCATAGTGTATTAACAAGGCCTACAAATGACCTACCTCTAGCTAAGAGACCAGTAAATTAAATACGTTTTGGAGAGACCAACCTAAGTTAGGAAATCAAAATGTCCTGGTGTAGGTAATTAACTACAGTATTTTAGAAATTCACACTTTTGTAAATACGGTCCCTCTTGTGACATAAACCATACATCCTAAAATTTAGTGCACATTAAACAGCTAAAGCCTTCTGTCCCTGTCCAGTTTGTTAGTTCAGATGGGATCTTGCAAAACCATACGTTTAGTTTGAGAAGAGGAGCGACTGATATTTCCTCTTTTTTGGCTTTTGGTTACCGGTAACATTTCGAGTTTTGTCAGTCAAACCAGAAACATTTCTGCCTAGTCAACAATACATTGAGGATCACTATTTAGCTAGTTAAAGGGATTTTACTGTAAGTTTTCGCTCAAGCTGTTTCACAGTAGCCATGCTGCAGGGAAGAAGGATACAGGGGAGATTTTGAAGACAGTGTGAAAAATATGAAGTCAGATCAATCTTACTGTAAATCTGTTGGTTTGGTTTTTTCCTTTCAAAATACAGTCCAAGCTGAAGTCTGTTGCTGGATTCCTCATTTACCATGCTGCAGGAAATCCTTATTTGACCTTTTTTTTTTTTTTCTTTTTGAGGGGGGGGAGGGGAGGAGGCTGGGGGATGGTGTCAGATACATTTTTAAACTTGCAGTATTTAAAATAAAGTTCATATTTGCTGTTCTAAAGTGTCATTTAAATGCATGTATTGTGTGTTGTTGGAGGGACAGAAATAGGGTTTTTGGGAAAAAAAAAAAAAATGTACAGTTCCTGCCCCTCAAAAATGTTGCTGGTTAAAAATACAATATTTTTGGCCATAACTTTGTACTACAGTATCTTCATTCCTTGAAATTTAGCTTTTCTGGAATACTATTTGGACTTATTATCCCAAAATGCTTTTTATTATGATAAGTGTTGGATAGATGTATTATTCCATTATTTCTTTCTAATTATACTTGCTCTGTTGTCTTTGTCTAAATATTAAAATTTGCAGAATATAATTATTACAGGCAAAACATTCAAACCATTTAAAGTTTAGTATGGTGGAGACAGTCATTTGACAGTAGTATTAAAAGGTTTCTTTGGCTTCTATGCAATGGAAATTCAGAAGCCTGGGAGAAAAGGAATAGTCTACATCTCACGAATAGAAAACTTTCAGAATTTGTAGACAGCAAGTGAATTTTTTGAGCATTTTGGCTGGTTGCAGTAGTACTGCAGGAGCAGACCGTTTCTTTGGTCTTTTTGTGTGCCCGTGTGGTGATAGGAATAATTCCAAGGTGCCCACGTGTTGCTTCTCAGGAGCCTGGCTCATACCCGATCAACAGTCAGTGGGTCTCAGATCTTCATTACTGAAGAAACAGAATTTCAGGCCAGTTGTAAAAATGAGTTTGCTCTCTATTACACAATCACAGCAGTTTAAGTAAGGTTCTTGGAGTCCAGCAGTTTGCCTAAGCAAGGACTCGAGTGAACAGTTCCTGATTTTTCTCTCATGTTGCAGAATGTAAGGGAGAGGGATCAGTGGGGAAGGATTTATCTTATCTTTATGTCTCAGTGAAGATAATGTCAACAAAAATAAAGTGTTAAGTGGTGATATTTAGATACCTGAAATAGATGTAGAAACTGTACCTGTGTGATAAATTGTGCATAGTTGTGATAAAGCCTTACATCACATACTATGATCATATCACGCAATTGCCAGCCGCTCTGCAGGACACTGTCCCACACACCTAGGAGTTCCACTGCGTGTGTAGGCTGCCACAGAACATGCAGTTGGCAGCTCCTCAGGAACACATCTGGTTTCAGTGTCTGGTAGCAAGGCAGCTGACACCCCCTGGCTCATAGCTCATTGCTACCAAAAGGAGCTACCCTCCAAGACCTCCTCAGTTCCCCGCTCTCAGCTGCGTGGGGTTTTTTCCCCTCTCCCTTATCTCAGCCCTACCACTTGGCCAGCCAATAAACCCATTCATTTTTGCTCTTCTTCCTTGGCTGCTTTAGTAGTCCGATTTTCAGGGGTTTCCGCCAATTGGGCTAATCAACAGTTCAGACAAGTGCTAAGCTGACTAAGTGGAAGAGGCAGAATTGTGTGGCCAAAAGGCTTAGAAGTTAAGAAAAAAGGGAGTAACAATCCCTTCCCTTTACAACCTGGTCCTGAACAGTGTGTATTGTCTAAAACCTTCATTTTATGCACTTCACGGGTTATTATCTTATCTGGCTTGGAAGGATTGCTCTGGGAAAAAAAAAAAACAACAAACAGATAGGACAAGGAAAATTCTTTTCTGCTCCCCTTTAAGAATAACAAGTTTCTGTATACATGGACTAAACCCAACTGTAGTCAGGCTGAAGCCAACAAGTCAGACAAGTAGAAGAATCAGGCTTTTATTCATCTCACAGAAACAGAAAAGAAAAAAAATAGTTCTGGTTCATTTCCGGTAAGATCTTAAAAAAAATAAATGTTTTCCATGTTAAGGTACTTAAAATGCCATGTGTGTCCTTGTCCAAGGCACTCCTTCCTTCTGCATTCACACTTGTCTATCATGGGGATTAATTGCTTCCTGCCATCTAAAGAAAATATTTTGCAGTACTGCTTTATGTATGTACACTCTGGAATACTTTCTGATCCTTGTGAATTAAATGTAAATTGATCTGCTAAAATGGAACAGTTGATGAAGTGTAATACAGCTGAAGAAGACCGCACATTTTGCTTAATCTTATTTCATGTTCCTCCTGCATCTTCTTCTGATCACTTTTCTGTATCTTTCCTTTTCCTGTTTGCCATAAAGAGAAGGTTGCTTGATGTATATCAGATTCAGTTCTGGTAATCATTACAGAGTTGATTATACTCGCTGAATTAAAGACAAACTATGAATCAGAAGAGCTTCAGAAAGTTCCTGTAATTGGGGGCAGATCCAATTAGCCTTGCGGACAGGCATTTCGGAAAACAAAACCGTAACACTGTAGTTGTAATACAGTCAACTGAAGGATATAGTAGGCTAGCGTGAGCCAAATTGGGCCAATATACCCACTTTAGTATGACATTTTTGCATTGCCAGTAGAGAACTCTGCCAAGGTGTTACTGAAAATTTTATTTTTCCTACAGTTCTGTATGAGGTGGTTAATGCAATGATCAGACTGACACTCAAGGGATGCATTCATTCGACAATAGGTTCAAATGTATTCTTGCAGAGATAAGTTATTGCATAAGATTACTTTACTTTATATGATGCTAACAAAAAAAAGACAACTTGCATGCAGTAAATATTTAAGATATTGCACTTTTATACATTTATTACATTAACACTCTCTTCCTAAAAATAAAATTCCATTTATCTCAAGATGAAGTATCTGGAGTCTCTTAACAGCTCTCAGTTAACTGCACACAAGTGTGACTGTATACTAGAGGTTAATCCATTTGTCATATGACATGCTGTAGAATATTTGGTTTATTCTAAATGCTGATTTTGGGAAGGCAGAACAGCATTTTGTATCGGTATCTTCATTGCTGCTTTTCTCAGCGTGTCTTCAGAGAACCTTTGCAATTACTGGCAGGACTTGATTTATTTTAGCTCCATAAACTGACTGACATA